CGCCTTTTCGCTGTCGACGCCGGCTGCGCTGCCTCCGTCGGCCGTCGGCGATGTCGTTGGCGTCCCCGCCGACGCACCTCCGACGGGTGTCGCCGCTGCCGCCGCGGCCGCCGCGCCGCCGCCTCCCGCCGTCGGAGACTCGAGCTGGCTGTAGCTGTCCCTCCGCATCATCTGGTCGACGACGTCGCCGAGGTGGAGCCCGCCGACCAGGCTGCGCTCCTTTTCGTCCTCGGTCGCCTCGTCGTCCTGCTTGAGCTGCTGGCGCGCGTTGCGGGCCATCTCGCGCATCTTTTCGGGCGACATCGAGGGCAGCGTGCTCGACTTGCCCGTCATGAACGCCGAGGGCGATGGCGCGACGGGGGCGGGGATCGAGAGGCAGGGCAGAGGCGGCTGGAGACGGTTGCCCCAGCTGATGAGGGCGTGGTCGTAGATCGAGTTGACAATGTCGCCCTCGAAGCGGACGCAGGCCTCGATGTTGGGGCGGTCCTGGATGTTGTTGCTGTTGATCAGCGCCACCTGCCGGTCGACGATGAGCAGCTTGGCGTGGAACGTGCCCATCAGCGGCCGGTGGTAGTTGAGGATCTCCATGGTCAGGTTGGGGATCTCGTGTTCCTCGGGCAGGCCGTTGGTCTTCCACATGCCCGGCGGGACGGGCTTGCGCAAGCGGAAGAGGTCCGCCAGCGTCTGCGGGCCTCGGTCCCACATGAGCTTGACGACGACCTTTTCGTCGGGTCCCGGCTCGTCGACATCGACCTCGTCCAGGTCGCCTTCGAGCCTAGCCTTGTCGCCCTCGGACCGCTCCGCCGAGCCTGGCGCGCCGGTATCAGTGAGCCGCGCCGCCTGCTTCTCGGCCTCGCTGGCCGCTACCGCGGGCGTGCTGGCGCCGCTGTCGCCGGTGCGGCCGCTCTCTGGCGAGGCGCCCCGGCCTCGGCCCCGTCGTGCCGCCGTCGCCGCTGCCTGGCGCCGCCTCTTCTGGACCCTGCGGTCGAGCTCTCTCAGCGCCTCTGCGATCTTGTCGACGTTTTTGCCGCCCTGCCAGTAGTTGGTGAGCAGGATGACTTCCTTGCGCGCCGCGACGATGCAGTCGTAGTAGTGGCCGATGATGTCGGGCCCCGTCGAGAAGATCGACAGCGGCGCGATGCCGGTCGTTGCGAGCAGCGGCGGCGAGACGACACCGGACATGGGGTTCCTCGGCAGCGGGAGGAGGCAGTCGGCCAGCATCTGAAGCGTGGCGAGCGGGGCCGAAGCAGAGCGGGTCAGCTGCCGGACGGAAAACATGGGGAGGCCCGAGGTGCGAGGAGGCGCGAGCAGGACTCACCATGAGGTAGAGGCGCGAGGGCCCGCCCTTTTCGAGCTCCTTGTAGCCGTAGCGGAGCCGGACGCGCTCGAGCTCGTCGTCGTCGGGCTCGCGGTTGCCGTCGTGCACGGCGCCCTTGTCCCAGACCCAGTGCTTTCCGCGACCCTCTTCGAGCTGTTCCTTGATGGTGAAGCGGAGCAGGCCGCGGCGAGCGGCCGAGGGTGGTGGGAAGAGGATCTCTGCGGCTTTCGAGGGCGGCAGGGTTGGGTCGGCTGCGACTGCCGAGGTGATGGTGGCCTGCTGCGACTGCGGACGGGCATCCTGGCAGGTGCCGACGTCTGCGCCGGCGGATGTATGTGCGAGGTGCTGTGCGCCCTCGCGCGTGGCTTTTGACGACGACCCGCAGATCATCTTGGATGGGCGTTCGAGGCTCGAGGCGGGTGGCTGCCTTGGCTCTGCTCCGACCTGTCGGTGCGAGGCTGTTTTTTCTATGGATGTAGGATGCGGCAGAGGAGCCGTCTTGCCAGCTCTTGCTGTGTCGGCGCTGCTGGAGGAAGAAGGAACAGGCGCGGACGGCAATGGTCGTGGCCGTGGCCGTGGCCGTGAACGCAGCAGGGAGGTGGTGGTGACGGTGGTGCAGTCGGTGTCGGCTGGGATGGTGACGAGGGCGATGGAGGCTTTTGAGACTTCTGCTGGATGATGGTGAGAGCCCGACGAGGCTACGTTGGCGGCGAGGCCGGAGGGGGGATGGGGATCGGCGAGCAGACGAGCAGACGAGGAGCAAAGGTTGGAGGCACCGCCGTAGGACGCAGGTGGGGCTGGCCAGGTGGATCGCTTGGCTGCCGGCCGGCGCGTGCCTGCTTGCCGGCCTTGCCTGCCTGCCTGCTTGCTTGCCTGCTTTGCTTCGCCTCTGGGGGGCGGTAGTCCGGCATGGCACACGGCACGGGGGGCTCGCTTGTGAAATTCTGACAGCCTGGCTGGCTGTGCTGCCCCGGCCCCCACCTGCGCGAGCGACTCGCCGTTGTCGTCAGGCGCCCGCTCTGCCCACATTTTGCCTGCTGCGCCGCACTCGACCCCTTTTTCGGCCATGCCGCCCTGGCGTGCCTGCCCCAGCCCGTGCCCCACGAGCCAGCTTCCGCCAGCTGGCCTGGCCTGGCCTGCCCTGGCCTTGCGAAATGACGCCGAAGAGGAGCGAGGCCAAGGCCGACAACCGGCACGGCACAGACACCTTTGCAAGCAAGCTTCTTGGCCAAAATCGCCTGCCTATGCCCAGCAGGCCTGCTGCTGCGACGCAAGCGGAAGACCTCAACGCCAACGGACGGCGCCGGCCTTCCGGGCTGGGCAGCCAGCCTACGCCATCAATACCCACCCACACCACACCACACCACCGCACCGACCCCTGCCTCCTCTCTGAGCGCCACGTTCCGCCCGGCGCCGTAGCGTGCGTGCGTGCGTGGTTTCCATGGATTTCCTGGCCTCTTCATTTCGATCCAAGCGTCAATGGGTGGATGACGCTATGGTGTGGGCCCGCGCCGCTCGATGATGGCTCATGACGAACGCATCACGTACATGGCCGCCAGCCAAGCCAACAGCAGGCAGGCGGGCATGCCGAAGCCCCAACCCACCCTGCCTGGCCTGACGTGTTGGCTGCTTGCGATCCGCCATCTTGCCGGCCCGCATCTCGTGGCGACCCTCTCCACCCACCTCTTTCTGTGCCATCTTGTCAGGTCTCTCGTCGTCGTCGTCTGGTTCGCCGCCCCGAACGGATCCACGCAGCTGAGGCGCCGTTGGCGCACAACGTGCTGCGTGCTGCGATACGGCGTGCCTCGTCGCCGAGGTCTGTGTAATGCCATGGTGCGGCTGTCTGGCGAGCAGCTATTGCAGGCCGCCAGCGAATGAGCACCATCATCCATGTCTCTTCCCGCCTCCCTCAGCCTCCATGGTGCACCAGCGTGCGATCGACCTCAATCAAGCCGCCCTCAGCGTTCCGCTATGCTGTCCACCTCCGGCTTTGCAACCGCCACCATCACAAGAGCAGGCTAGGCACGAGGGGCCGGCTTGGCTTGGCTTGGCTTGGCCTGGCTCGGCCCGGCCCGGGCAGGATTGATGATGCTCACCACACACGGCATGCCATCGGCCGTCGCTCCGTGATGGACGTCGGGCAGTCCATGATGCCTTGCTATCGGGCGGCCCGCGCCCGACTAGCGGGTGGGTGGCTGGCACAACGCGCTGCCACAGACCCCGCTCACCTGGGGAGTCGACCTCGCCACAGCCCGCCAGGATGATGGCAGTCATCGGCCTCCTTGATCGGACCAGGTCCGCCTTCCTGCTCGCCACCACTTACATCTGAATCTGCCCTTGAGAGATGCGCTGCAGAGACTGCGCCCAGCTCGACTCGGAGCTCGTCTCCCCCACCTCGAACGATCGCACAGGCCGGCCGTCAGGCGTCTGACAGGAGCGCGCTGGCTTGCTGTTGGAGCGTCTGGCGCATCCTTGGGATATCTAATGGTACAGGGAGCTCGAGGGAGGCTCGCATCCGATGGCGTTGAGGAGTCGACGATCGACACGACGGGGCGGGACCACATCATTCCTCGAGGAAGCGCAGGTTGCCCCGCTTTGGCTCTGTTCGGCCAGGCGGTAGGAGGGCAGGGAACGGAAAGGTGAGAGCGACAGACGTCAGTGAGGCTCGACCAGCACGGCCGTTGAGGATGTTGGCCCGCGAGGCAGCCCGTAGCCAGCACAAGGACCGTCGAGACTCACTGATGACGGGATGGAGCTGCGCCATGTAGACGATGAACCACATCAGGTACATGCAGGTGAGTGCCAGGGCGACCGATGTCCGGATCATCCTGGGCAGCGGCAGCCAGCAAGGAACGCGGGGAGGTGGAGCAAGCCAGAGAGCAAGCTGATCAGCACATCGTCCCGCGAGGGTGTTTGATCTCAGAGCCCCAGTCAAGCGGACAGCGACGAAGCGGCCCAAACAGGGCCACCGACGGAGCCTTCTAGAGGGATCCCCATGGCCGGGCGCAGCTGCTTCCACGGCCGGCTCACTCACACCTGGTTCGGCCCCTTGGGCGTGGTGATCCATACGCCGCTGATGGCCCCAAAGACCGCGATCAGCGTCCAGATCGTGGTCCAGCCCGACATGGCGATATTCGGAAGCGGCGACGCGAGGAGCAGCGGAGAGTAGCGGACGGCCGGTGGACCGGTGAGTTCAGTTGCGAAGCGGGACCGGATGTGCCTTCAGCTGAGGCCTCGTGCTACGGGCGTCGTCGGCGATGCAGGCGGAGCGAGTGCAGATCGATGTCGTAGGCGGGTCTCTTGGGACGACTCGGGCGCTGACGGTCGAGGAGAGAGGAGGGAGGAGGAGGAGGAGGTGGACGTGGGGATGGTCGTGCTACGGTGGACTCGAGATGCTGCCCCGGTGGCTGGCTGGCTGGCTGGCCAGGCTGTCCGCTCGAGCCAGCCCAGGCGAACCCCTGCGTCTCGACCAGTCCCGCCACCACGCACTCGCCCGAGAGAGCACGGGGAAACTCGAGCCAGCCAGGCCTGCCATGTGGAGCAGGCGACGGTCGGGCCACGTCTGCTCAGCTGAAGCCCAGGCCAGGCCAGGCGCGCAGGCCAGGCGATGTCAGGCTGCAGCTCCAGGCCTGTTGGCCTCCCTTGCTGGCTGGCCGGCCGGCGGAACTCTGGATGATGGGGACCCCTTGCTTGCCATGCCTGCTTGCGCTGGCTGGTCTTCTTCATCCCCTCCCCACCATCTTCCCGTCGTCGTCGTCAGCGTTGCCTTCGTTGCCACCGCCATCACCACTGCCATCCACAACGAGCGTCGCTGCAGCCCACAACCTTGCTCCTTGCCCCCTCTGCGCCCAACCCCGTCCCCGACCCTCGCCAGCACAATGTCGGCCACCAACGACGCCAGCGTCGACATCTCGATCCCCTACAGCACGCCGGGCACGCCGCACCCGCAGCACCAGCTAGGATGGGTGGGTCTCGGCAACATGGGCGCCAAGATGGCCCTCAACCTGGCCAAGCACCTCTCCACCCTCAGCCCTCCGCTGCCCCCGCTGCTCGTCTACAACCGCACCGTGTCCAAGGCGCAGGAGCTCGAGAAGAGCAGCAACGGTCTCATCCGCGCCGTCGGCAGCGCCGCCGAGATCGGACAGAGGTGTGAGCTGATCTTCACCAGCCTCAGCAACGACGCGGCCGCCGAGGAAGTCTTTGAGGAGCTGCTCAAGGGCGAGGAGAAGCGTGTCGGGCACTCGGCCCAGGAGAGGCTCTCCCGCGGCCTCAAGACCACGTTTATCGAGACGAGCACCCTCTACCCGACTACCACCGGTGCGTAGCAGTAGCGTGGCTGGACGGCGAGACCATGCCGCAGCTGTCTACAGCGTAGCGCGCTCTTCCTGACCCATCTGTCTCTCGCTTTCTTCGCACCCGCTTCGCTGCAGGCGGCCTCGAGCGCAAGGTGTCGAGCTTGCCCAAGCGTCACTTTGTCGCCGCGCCAGCTTTCGGTCCGCCGCCGATGGCTGCCGACGCCAAGCTCGTCTTTGCCGTCGCAGGACCCCACAACAGCAAGAAGCACGTCAGCCAGTTCTGTGAGTACAGTGCGGCCCGCGGATCTCGCGCTCTCCAAGATGGATGGAGTTCGTCGCCGCGGCTGGAGATCCCGCGCTGACGCCCGCTTCTTCTCCTTCTCCCTGGGTTGCCGTACACAGTGGTTCCTGCCATGGGCCGAAAGGTGGGTACCGTCGGCATGATCGCCACGAATCGCCACGCCTACTGATCAACCCCCGACTGACCTCGACCTGCCTGACCAACCCCTTAGATCATGGACTTTGGATCTGACCCGGAGCGAGCGGCTTCGTTCAAGCTGATTGGCAACAGCGTGGGTCTCGGCACACGCCGATCGGTTCCGGGCCTTCCTGGAGCCAGCCTCTGACGTTCTGGTACCGCTTTCTTGCCCTCTCCTTGGCTGCAGCTCATCGTGTCGACGATCGAGATGCTCTCAGAGACCATGACGCTGGCCGACAAGACGGGCGTGGGTGCCGAGCGCCTCTACGAGTTCCTCGAGGAGTTCTACCCGGCGCCCTCGGCGCTCGGGTACGGCAAGAAGGTGCGTTGCCGGGACGGCGTGCATCTCTGCCGTCGCATGGATGCCCTCTCTCTCCTGAAGATGCGCTGACAAACACGAACCCTTCCTCCTCTCGCCGGCCCCGTTGCAGATCCTGACCAACAACTTTCACGGCGAGAACGGCTTCACCCTCAATGGCGGCATCAAGGAGTGAGTATCGGCGCAAGGAACTCGCCCTCGGACCAGGGTTGCAGCACGCTGACGCGAGCGACCCCCTCTGCCAACACCTTTGATGCAGTGCGAGCCACATTATCAAGCTGGGCGAGTCGGTCGACTGCCCGCTGCCCATCATTGACCTGGCGCGCCAGCACATGCTCTCAGCGCGGGCGATTGGCGGCGAGGACCTCGACTGGTCGTCGCTCTCTGCGGGCTTCCGGGTGACGGCGGGCGTGCCTCCGTTTGAGCGCAAGGAGATGCTCAAGAAGTGGTCCGAGGAGTCGAAGCAGTGAAAGAGGGATCGTGTAGAGCGCCGCCACACCGAGACGCCAGGACCATGAATACTGAGACTGTCCATCGAAGTGGCCTGGATGATTGCCGGAGATGGCCTTGCGCCGATGGCGGCAAAGTGCAGCAGTCGAGTTGATGAGGGGCCCGCCACGGCGGCCGTCCGGTCTGAACCCTGCATCCAACGAGGGCTTCGGAGATCGCCGACCCAAGGTGGCGGTGGAGGGCAGCCCGCGGGTCGAGGCTGCGGCGGCTACGACAGAGTCAAAGCCTGTCACTGAGCAAGCCAAGGTGACCAGAGGAGCTGGACATCGCTGGGACGACGGCGACGGCGACGACGACGGCGACGACGACTGCGGGGCGGGAAGGCCGGGGCGCCAACCGATCCGGGAGATGCCGGTCGGCTCGGGACTGGCCTGGCCTGGCCTGGCCAAGATGGGGTCCCACCGTGCATCATGCGCCCCGCCCTGCCCGAGCTGCCTGCCCTGCCTGGCCGTGCCTTTCATTCTCGCTTGTCGCGCCTTTTTTTCCAGCTCGTCCATGCCGTCAACCCGTTGCCGGACCGGCCTGCTTCCCACCACCACCGCTGCCCTCCCTACCCACCCTCACCCAGCGCGGTCCTTCGACCCGGGATCCCTCGTCACCGTTCCTCTTATCGACGGATACATCGACCTCGCTGCGCCATTGCAGTGCAGGCGGTGCATCCTCGACTGGCCTCTGCCGCCACCTTCTTCGGCCACCCTCGCTGCTTGGCTCCGTCTCGTCAGTCTGCGGATGCTCGGGCGGCCACAGCCCTGCTGGCCTGTTCACCTACTACTGTCAAGACTGCCGTCCGCTGCCTCCTTCCTCAAGCTTGGAAGCTTGCGCCTCGGCAGCCCCAGCCTTGCTCGAACGAGGGACCTTTCACGCCCCGCCTGCCGACGACTGCTGTTGCTGCTGGCACCGGGTTCCTAGATCGGATCGCCTTCCCCTCTTGGACGGCTAAAGCACGACGGCGGACGGCCTCAGCATCACTGGCCGATCGAGGAAAAGATGCCTCGGTCGTCCCTGCCGCGCCGCCATCGTCTCAAGAGCCTATAATCTGCATCCGACCTGGCCTCTCGACGGGGCCCTCGCAAGGTGCCTCGACCCCGCGTACACACCTCTTCAGCTCCTTGACTTGGTATCCGGCCAACGATCTCCTCCCTCGACATCATGGCCTCTTCTGCTCCATCAGCAGAAGCTGCGGGCTCTTCTGCCGGACCCTCTGCTTCACCCCAGAACATCGCTCCCGCCGCCTCGGCGAAGAAACCGCGCAAGCCGAGAGAGCCCAAGGCGCCCAAACCGGCATCCTCGGCCCAGGCCGCCGATCAGGATGCCAAGCCGCTCCACCGGCCCGTCATGGTGTGTCGCCGCTGCAGGACCAAGAAGATCAAATGCGACCTCGGCTTCCCGTCCTGTGGCCCATGCCTCAAGGCCAACGAGAGCTGTGTCGGCCTCGATCCGGCCACGGGCAGGGAGGTCAGCAGAAGGTGAGCTTGTTGGTGGTTGGTCTGGAGCCCGTTTTGAAGATGCTTGCGCTTTTCCTTGGACCCATCACTCTGACTCACGTTCCGCAACCCTTCGTGCGAGCAGCTACATCGCCGAGCTAGAGGACCGCGTTGACCAACTTCAGAAAGAGCTCGAGGCGATACGAGGCTCGCAGCAGCCGCAGCCGCAGCCGCATCAGCAACACCATAGCGGCGCCATCCCCGACCCCTTGTGTGCGCCTCATTCCTATGCAGGTGCCGGCGCGACGCCAGGACAGCCTGCTGGATCGAGCGAGGCAGCCGCCAAGAGGCACCTCGCAGAGGACCGCCACGACGCCACTGAACGCCCTGCGAAGCGGCTGGCTCAGCATGTCGAGGTTGCTGCCGGCAGCGGCAGAGGCGTGTATCACCACCCTCTCGGCCCGCAGCGGCTAACGCTCGGTGCCAACGGCGTCGAGAGCCTGCCCGCCAAAGCGCTGCGACCATCGCTGCGCCAGCTCAACTCGTACGCCAGCGGCCTCTCTCCAGCGCGGCTGCTCTGCCAAGCCATTCAGCAGTCTGCCTCTGCGGGCCTGCGCTTCCGAGACCCCAAGGCGGGCGGCGAAAAGAAGGTGAGCGCGACCAAGACCCGCGGGCCTGCGGTCCCGGGTCCCCCAGAAGGATCGGCCGCGGCCGACATCGAAGGCGCCGTCAAGCGCGAGGAGGACGGTAGCGACACTCGCGGCCGGCCCGAGACGCGCGACTCCGCAGGTGGCGGTGAGACGCAGGCCGAACCTGCCCTGGATGCCAAGTCCGGCTCGGCGACCCCGTCCGAGGGCCACAGCAAGAAGCAGTCGCCCTTCGACGACGCCGAGGCGATGCAGTATGCCGAGGCCACCGAGACGTCCGACATCACGGTGCCGGCACCTGAGCAGCTCTCGAAGCCGTCGCCGCCCCCGGCCCCCTTCCCACCTGTGCCCGTGGCCCGCAGGCTGGTCGACGCCTACTTCGAGCGCGTCAACCCGCAGTGGCCGCTGCTCGATCGCAGCACTTTTATGCCGAGGTTCGAAGCGGCTTGTCGAGAGGGCCTCAGCCGGGCACGGGCCAAGGCCGAGTCGCACGCGCAGGCCGATGGCAGTGCGTCTGCCAGCTTCCACGAGGACGAGGTCGAGATCGACCTGCAGCCCGCCGACGGCCACCTCTTCCACCTTGTCCTCGCCATCGCCGCGGCCATGGGCTGGACGCAGGCGCGCTTCTCGGCCGAGCGTCACCACGAGGCGGCCATGCTCTACCTCGACCCGCGCCGGGCGAGCAGTGGCCAGCACGGCGTCGGCGCCATCATGGGCCGCGACTCGCTCGAGCAGCTCCAGTGCCTGCTGCTGACGGCCCTCTACTCGATGATGCGCTCGACGCGGCCGGGGATCTGGTACACGCTCGGCGTGGCGCTCCGCCTCACCACGGGTCTGGGCCTGTACAGCGAGAATTCCGGTCTGCTGAAGGGCGGGCCCTCTGCGGAGGACGGCGCTCCCGAGAGCATCGCCAACAAGAAGCGACGACTCTTCTGGTGCGCCTACAGCATCGATCGCTCGGTCGGCGTCCACCTCGGGCGTCCGTTCGGCATCGCCGACACCGACATCAAAGTCGGCCTGCCTTGGACGCCGGCGGACGATGAGTATGCCGAGGGCCAGCACGGCAAAGACGCTCCTCCGACCGGCGATGACGCAGACGCGGTGGACGACGGCGTGAGCGCTGCCGGCTTTGATGAGCGCGCGAGCGACACCTCGACCGAGAGGCTGAGGAAGGAGGCCGCCTCGACGCTGGCGGCACTCGGCGAGAGCCGGGCCAGCTCGCCATCATCTGCGATGACTGCACCGGCGACGATGACGGGACCAGGCGACGTCGCGGCCTCGAGGCAGGCTCCGCCGTCGTCGAGTCGACCTGGCAGCGGGAGCCGGTGGGTGTCGCTCGCCTTCTTCCGCCTCCGCATCCTGCAGTCCGAGATCCAGGGCCTGCTCTTCTCCAATGCCGAGCTCCCACGGAGGTTTGCGTCCTTCGAGCACTGGAAGGTCGACATGCTGGATCGCCTGGCCGACTGGCGCGCCTTTGCACCTTCGTCGAGGGACGAGCTGGCCCGCGCCGGCTGCGGCTACAACCCCATCTTTCTCGAGCTCAACTTCCGGCAGACTCTGCTGATGATCTACGGCATGAGCCCGCGCTTCCCGACGCCGAACCGCTCGGACCTGGCGCACGTCGAGGACTGCAGCCGCGTCATCCTCGACATCTACGCCGTGCTGGCCAAGGAGGGCCAGCTCAACTACGCCTGGATGACGGGCCACAACATCTTCATCAGCTGCACCAGCTACCTCTACGCAATCTGGCAGATCAGCGCGAGCTACCCGGCCTCGCTGCACTCTTCGTTGCTGCGGGACCACCCGACCAAGGTGGCCGAGATCGAGCACTACGGCCGCGCCTGCGACGACGTGCTGGCATCACTGCAGTGGTACACGGCCGAAAAGTGCCGCAAGTGCCTGCGGACCATGTTTGCGGCTACGGCGGGGCTGGTCGAGAAGCTCGACAAGATGGTGGCCAGGGGCCCCGCGACAGTCTCGCTCGGCGACCCGTCCCGACAGGCGCCGCAAGCTCAGCCGCGACAGCCGGCACAGCAGCAAGGGCAGCAACAGCAGCAGACACAGCGTCTCCTGCCGCAACCTCCGGCAGCGCATCAGCCGTCCGCCGCCGCCAGCCCGTCATCGGCCTTGATGAGCGGACCAAAGGACAAGTGGTGGGACCCTGCGCGCGATGCTCCGACTGGATGGGAGAGCGCCAGGACGAGCGATCTGCGGTCGGAGCGGCAGCCAGTTGGCCGTACCGACAGCCCAGGCCTCTCTGCCCGGTCGCTGTACACGCAGGATGCACCATCGCGCCTGCAGCCCTCGGGCAAGACGCCACGAGGTACGCTCGCCATGCTACCGCCGGTGCCGACCTGGCCGGGCGCCCATGGCCCGGGCTCCAACGTCACCCCGCTTGGCGGCCGCGGCGGTCCGCCGGTCATCGGAGGGCACACTTCGGGCAGCTTTTCGCCGTCGTCGCGGATGACCCCGTTGCCGCCAGGGGATCCACGTTCTCGGTCTCGATCTGGTAGCCGCAGCTCGGTCTACTATTCGGCCGACGGTGCCTCGATGGCGACGAGCCCGCACGCCATCGCGAGTGGTGCACATCCAGACGCCCGGATGCCGTGGAGAACGGCCAGCCCTCGATTCCCACCAATCGACGGCCCTGCCCGACACCTCTCGTTTGGATCGCCGTATGGGTCGGGTGCCTCGCCAATGGCCGGCTCGCCTTACGCTATCGGCGACACTCGGGCCGGTGGACACAGCGCTGGCTCTGGTGCTGATACGTTGTCCACCGCCGCCGCGTACCCTGGGCAGCCGCAACAGGCTGGGAGCACGCCCAGCAACGGGCTCGAGTTTGATGCCATCGCTGGCGTCAATGGCTCTCCCGGTGCGCTGCTAAGGCAGACGCTCGGCGCGAGCCCGGGCAGGATCTCTGCGCATTCGTCGTCTGCGGCCGACAGCCCAAACCAGATTGACTTTTCGTCGCTCATGGCCGACTCGGCCATGGAGCTGGACCAGCTCTTCCGCGACGCAGGGCTGTCGATCAACTTTGACGGCGGATTCGGCTCGGCCGATGGCGGCGCGGCCGGCCTGCCCGCAAACGGCGATCAGAGCCAGCAGGGCGGCCTCGGGTTCGCTGACATGCGACCGGCCGGGGCTAGCAGCACGTATCTCGACGCTGGGGACGGGACCATCGGCATGCATCACCATGGCAGCGGCGGCGGTCTAGAGGGCTTAGGACGAGGTTACGAACACGGTGGCGGCATGGACGGCGGCCCGGGGCCCGGCTCGACGACAGGCGCAAGCTGGTTCGGCAACGGTGCGAGCTTGGGCGGCGGCGGTGGCGGTATGCTGGCCAACTCGGACGACGGGCTGGAGAACGACTATGACTGGGAGGCGATGGGATTCGGGTTCCGCATGTCCCAAGCTCCCGCCGTCATCGGCCCTGATCCGCTGGGCTTCGGTTTCGGCGGCGGCGGCGGCGCAGGTGGTGGCAGTGGCGGTGCTGCGGCAGGCCCGACAGGCTTTGTCTGAATTGATGCGGCAACAGCGAGGTGCCCAGAGCGCCGACCCCCACCTTACCCCAGCCTGTCGAGGCAGTCTTTAGCGGGATGCTTTGCATGCGCACAGCGTGACAGGACGGCGTCGGGATGGCCTGACCCGACCTGTGCCCGGAGCGAGAGAGAGGCTTGCCTACAGCTGAACGACGACGGGGCGGTACGGGGCGGTACGGCGACCGAATTGGGACGGTGTGGCGAAGCATGTGCGGCGTCGGGGCAGGCCTGGCAAGGCGTTGCGCGCAGCCAGGCCAGGCCAGACCATGCGGCTCGGACGATGGTGCAGGCTAGACTAGGCTTGGCTAGGCTAGGCCCGCCTTCGGTCCGGAGCAGATCCGACCAGGCCAGCCCCATGTACCGCGGAACTTGACCAGCTTGCTAGGCTAGGCTAGGCTAGGCTAGGGAGGGCCGGGCTAGGCCTGCTTCCGCGAGGCTACGCGTAACCATATGCTCTCCGAGCCGAACTCGACCCACGGATCGTCGCCGCAATGCCGCCGTCGAGCCGGCTAGGAGTCGCACGGTCGCGCGGTCGCGCCGAGGTCCCAGGCCTGGCCAGGCGAGGGTTATCGTATGGTCGGGCCGAGCCTGCCTCTGAGCTGCTGAGGCGATAAGGCAGCGTCAAGTCGTGCACTGCACAGCCCGCGCTCCTAGCCAGGCCAGGTTCGAGCCTGGCCTGGCTGGTGGCTAACTACCGGCAGCTGCCCGTCCGTATGGCCGCCGGCTTCGGACGACGTCCGCCAGAATGTAGTGGACGGTGAGCGGCCCCCCAAGAACCAAGACAGCTCCACCCAAGCCGGACCAGACCAGACCAGCCAAGCCTTTTCGAGTGCCGGACGCCGGCACAGGGTGCAGGACTGGATTTGCATGGCCCGGCCAAGCCAGCCAGCAGACAAAGCAGGCTAGGCAAGCAAGCCAAGCCGCGTGGACCCTGCCTGTCCGTCTAGGCTGCCTGCCTGCCTGCCAGGCCTGAGGCTTTTGCTTCGCTTTCTTCGGGCTTTTTGGCCTTCTCCACTTCGGCGCTGCCCGCTGCTCCTTGCCTGGCCTGGCCTGCCTGTCCCTTCGCGAGCATGGGGGCGGCCAGGGTTCGGTACAAAGTCAGCGAGGGATGCTCGCAAGATGGCAGGTAACTTAGGCCTGCCCTGGCTGCTCCGCTACGGCTGATCCGACGGCCTGCTCTGGCTTGGCCTGTCTGCTCGTCGTCGTCGTCACCACCACCACCACCATCACCTTCACCTTCACCTTGACCACCATCACCCACCGGCAGTCCTCGACGCTTCGGCCTCTCCGCCCCGTCTTCCTCCTCCGCCCCCCCCCCCCCCCCCACTTCCGATCCCCTCCTCTCCTTGGCCTTCCGCCGCTGCGATGCCGGCCGCACCCCCTTGACGAGGTACCACTCGACCCTCGTATACCATGAGAGCCGGCGCTGGCACAACAGCCACGATGGCAGCGCATGGCCCCCCAGTCGGCGCACCCGCCCTCCGCACCATCCATACCTATACCAACAAGAACGCCACCCTTGCCCTCGAGTGAGTACCCTCGTCGGCGCACATTCGCGCTTCCCGCCGCTCACCGCTCACCGCTCGCCGCTCACCACGGTGCTTTCTCTACCCCGCCCGACTGCCCGCCACCCTCGCAGCGTCTACACCTACCCGCTCCGAGTGCCCGCGTTCCAAGGCGGCAGCAAGGCAAGGGGCTGGGGGTCGCTCGCCGGCAGCGTCACGTTCAACGTCACCTCGGACAATTCGCGCGTCTCGGCCATCACCGTCTCGGTGACCGGCACCGCCCGCGTGCTGCTGCCAAAGAGCGGCTCGGCCGACACGCCCGCCCAGATCGACCACCTGAACCCAGAGGTCGAAGAGGCAAAGGAGCACGACGTCACGCTCCTTCAACTCGAACACACCCTCTGGCAGGCCGACGCCCAGGATCCCGACTCCAACCTCTTTTCCCAGGGCAGGCATCCCTTTGACTTCGACATCGACCTCCCCGCCTACAAGGTGACGTCCAAGGGCAAGAAGCAGGCCGCGCCCGTCCTCTTGCCGCCCTCGTGCGTCATCGATGCCTTCGCCGCCCCCGCCATCGTCGACACCCGCGCCAAGTCGGGCGGAGGCGGCGGCGGCGTCATGTCGTCGATCTTCAAGTCGACCAAGGACGCCCTGCCCAAAAACTGGGCCAGCGTCAAGTACGAGATCAGCGTAAAGGTGCACCGCGTCGGCCTGCTCAAGCGCAACCTGCGCCTCTCGGCCCCCTTTGTCTACCTGCCGCCGCCAGAGTCAGGCCATGAGGTGGCGCTACGCGAGAGGAGGAGGCTGGCCAACATGATGGCCCAAATCGTCACCAACACCTCGGGCGACGGACGCCACCCGATCGAGTCTCAGGCGCCCTGGCAGCGCGTGGCCATCAACTACTCGACCAGCAGGAACGGCGAGCCGATCGACTTGGACGGCGACACCGACCGCAAGGCCGGCGGCGGCGGCGGCGGCCTGCTCGGTTCGATCTCATCCCTCTTTGGCACCAAGAAGCCCACCGTCATTGGCCGCGAATCCTGGTCGCTCTCGGTGCCCGGTGACGCCGCCGCCGCCTCGTCCGCGTTTGCGCTGCGGTCTGCCATCCCTTTTATCCTGAGATGCCACACGAACAAGCCTCTGGCGCTCCGACAGGGATCTCCATTGGTAAGTGAAGCTTCCCCGAGCCGCGCCTGCAGCACAGCTTCCGAACCTGCCTCTGACGGCTGAAGAGCTTGGATTCGACCCTCTCTTGACTTGGTCGCGCCCCATTTACAGATCGTCGTTCTATACCGCCGGGTGCGCCTGCGCTCGGGCCAAAAGGCCAAGGTCGTAGCCGTCCAGCAGCGGCCGATGGCGACGGCGCAGGTCCGCTTCGCACAGGAGGCGCCCGACCTGCACCGCATCAACGGCATCGTGGTGCCGCCCGTGCGGTGCCTGCCCAGTTTCGAGACGCCGCTGATTTCGCTGTCGTACTTTCTCGCAGTGCAGCGCAGCCGCGACGCCCGCATCGTGCACGAGCACCCCATCACGCTGCACTGCCTCCCGCCGCCAGCCCCGCCCTTTGCCCCCTTCGGACCCTACCCGGCCGGCTACGTCAGGCCCGAGGTCCCGCTGCCTCAGCCCACGCCGGACGTCGTGTCGGATCTATCCGGCTTCCCTCCTGCGGCCAACGAGCAACCGAGGTTCGCACCGCCACCATCGCAGCGGTCCGCCGCGACCACGGCGACGGCGTCGACGTCAAGGTACGATTCGGCGCGCTCGCACGTCTCTTCGGACCGCAAGAGCGGCGCCCACGGTGGACACACGCTGTCGCCATCGCCGCCAAGGACGCAGAGCAGCTCGCCGTCGCCGTCGCCGTCGCCCTCGATGCGTGCCTCTCCCTCCCGCCCTACGAAGCCGCTACCGCCCACCACACAGCTGGCAGCGACGACGCCCGCACCGCCGTCTTCGAAGGGTGATGCGTCGAAGCCACGTAAATCTGCGCGAGAGGCCGCGTCGAGCACTGGCCGCGCATTGCCGCCCAAGCAGGTCAAGGCAGGCACAACTGCCGCCGCCACTGTGCCACCGGCAAAGGCTGCCGCTGGCTCTACCTCGCAGCGGCACATGGCACCGGCTCCACCACCCAAGCCTGGTACGCCCAACGGCTCTGGCAACGAGCACCCGAGGCGAGCGAGGTACTCGTCGCGCGGCGCGGCACCCGATCCGGGACAGCAGCCGCAGCAGCCTGCACTGGGCGCCCCGAGCTCGTCGCGTCGGGTCCACGTACACGGCGACGAGAAGCGCGCCCTCATCGACGCCGCCGTACCTTCTCGCTCAGGGAGCGCGGCCGCTGCGAAGGTTTCGCCGTCCATGTCCGGGTTACGCTCGTCTTCGGTCTCGGAGCACGAGGGCGAAGGGGCGAGGAGGGGCAGCGCAGCGCAGAGAGAGGGAGGACGAGGCGTGGGAGACTATGTGCGCGTCTCGTCGGCGTCCAAGACCAAGAGACCGGTCGAGGTAGAGCCACCGCCGCCGCCGCCGCCGCCCTCGTCGTCTCGGCACCGTGCCTATGCCACAGAGGCTTTGTCGTCGTCGTCGTCGTCTACGGCGGCGGCGGCTGGTGGCGCGGACAGGAGAAAGACACGCAAGGGAGGAGCGAGCAGGAACGACCATGTCCACCCGCCCTCGGCCTCGGCCTCGGCGGCGGCGGCGGGAGCGGGCAGGACGGATTCGTCCGCCCCTCGGTCGACGCGCGGTTCGACGCCTGGATCGGCACGTCGATCCGATCCAGGCGCCGTGCAGACGTTACCTTCCGCCCCGGCCCCTGCCCCTGCCCCGCTCCCTCCGCCCCCGCCTGCGCTGGAGGCGGATGCCAGCGGTGGGGACGGCGGGGGAGCGGGGACGGGCTATGGATTCACCGAGGACGACCTCATGACCTACGGCGAGGACATGGAGCTCGACCTTCCCCCGTCCTATTTCGAGGCCACCGCCGAGGACTTCGAGCAGTGACACCCCAACGGCCGGCGACGACATGGGCGGCAGCGGCATTGCTGGCGTGTCATGTCGTCGTGTCGTCGCGCCGTGCCGATGCTCTGTCCTCGCTTCAGAGGATGGACTCGCGGCCGTCGTCGTCGTCGTCGTCGTCGTAGTGCGAGCAGATACCCCGATCCAAGGACGACGACGACGACGGCCGCGCTGCGAGCGGTGCAGCTCCGCTTTAAACCCTTGCATGCATGCATCTGCGGAATCGATAATGTACCGTCGGAGGAACGACGCCGTGCCATCGTCGTCGTCGTCCTCGTCGTCGTCGTCGTTGTCGCCGCCGCCGCCGCCTTAGTCGTCGTCTCCACGATGATGCGCCGTCCGCGTAAAGTCGAAGTCGGTGGCCGGGTATCAGAGGGGGCCCAATCAAGACGACGACGACGGCGGCGGCGACTTGAGGTGGACCTCTTCGAGGCCGCGTTTGAGCTTGTCGATGCCGCTCGACGACGAGGTATGCCCCTCTCCCTCCTGGCTCGTCTCGTGCCACACGTCGTCGTCGGCGTCGGCATCGGCGTCTTCGTCGTCGTGTGCCCGTGCCTGCGTTGCGTCGTTGTGCTGCGGCGTCGGCGCCTCCGACGACGACGAAGACGAGTGGGCATGGAAGACGTCCATGTTGCTGACGGAGCTCGAGTGGGAATCCGTCGGCGACCTCCTCCCTCCGAACGGCGAGGCAGCCTTGCCCTGCGACGCCCCCTGCTGCCCCTGTTGCTGCTCCCCATCGACGTCGGCCGAGGGATTGCCCGAAGACGACGCATTGAGGGCGGCAAACGTCTTGAACTTGGTCGAGGCGCGCACGGCCGCAATGGCCGACTTCCACCTCTTGCGGTAGTTTTCGCGTAGGCCCGCCGAAATGTCGTGCGACGAGGGCGCGGCCGTGTGCGACGTGAACCACTGTCGAGACGGGACGGTAGGCAGGCGAGCCAGGAGGACATGGAAAGGGGGAGAGAGTGCGTGAGTCGTGCTGTCTCGGGCTAAGGACGGGGAGCGGGCAGCGGCGCGGCGACTGGGCGACGTCGACGTACGGGGTGGTCGATGCCTTCGTCGGCCGTGATGCGCTTCTTTGGATCGACCGTCAGGCACGACTTGACAAAGTCCTTGGCTTCTGCTGAGATGTTCTTCCAGTACCGGTCGTCTGCGACGGGTTGCGCGGGGATGAAAGGTCGAGCGGGTGTAGCGGCAGATGGCGGCAACGGAGAGAGGGGTGAGGCATGCGGGGTGAGCACGGCCCGCGGCCGACTGGGTGCGTTTGCGGCGCCTGGTACAGGGCGAGCGGGACCGACTCACGGAACTCGATCTTGCCCCGCTGCGTCTCTGCTGCTAGCGTCGCCGGGTCGTCGGAGCGGAAGGGCGTGTAGCCGCACAGCCTGTCGCAGCGTCGTCGTGTCGCCGTCGGTGCCGTGGCTCGCCGAGGGAGTCAGCTACGTTCTGCACGCGGGGCTTCCAGACGAGAACGGGGCGCTGGCTGACCGGCTCACATTGTGTAGGTGATGACGCCGAGGCTCCACATGTCGACGGCCTTGCCGTGGCCCTTCTTGGCGAGGATCTCTGGTGCGGCGTAGCCGAAGCTGCCGCATACGGTGGTGAGGATCTCGCTCTCGTCCTTGAGGTGGGCGGCGATGCCAAAGTCGACGAGGACGACGTTGGCGTCCTCCTCCTTTGTGCGGTAGAGGATGTTCTCGGGCTTGATGTCGCGGTGGACAATGTTGTGGTGGTGGAGGTACTGAATGGCCGACAGGACGGCGCGGATCGTCTGGCAGGCGTCGTTTTCGGTGAAGCGTCCCTTTGCGAGGATGCGCTCAAAGAGCTCGCCGCCGGTGGCCTCTTCAAAGACGAGGTAGTACTGAGGGAGGTGGAGTGGGGGGCGGCGAGAGAGGGAGAGAGGGAGGGGGAAGGAAAGTGAGCGAGCGGTGGGGGTTGGTGAGGATGTGGAGCCGGGGCGGTGCCCCAGGCTCGAGGCGAGGGCTGAGCTCACCTTGTCCTTGCTCTCGAACCAGTCGAGGAACTTTACGACGTGGGGCTGATCGAGGCCGCGGAGGACGTCCATTTCGTCCTTTACGATTTCGTCGTGGCCCTTTAGGATCTTTTTCGAAATGACCTTGACGGCGACGTTGATGGGGGGTTCGGCGGCCTTCCATAGTGCGGAGCGCACGACGCCAAAGGAGCCCTCGCCGAGGGTCTTGTGGAAGGAGTACTCCTTCTTCTTGACATACGACTCGGGCTGCCGAGAGAGGAGGTCGTGCAGGCCCATGTTGGCGGCGGCGGGCGGCGGGCGGCGGGCGATGGGTAGAGGAGGGTGAGCGGGCGGCCGGCGATGGGTAGGGGAGGTTGAGCGGGCGGCCGGCGATGGGTAGTGGAGGGTGAGCGGAATGAGAAGAGGCGAGCTGTGGGATCAGGAAGGAATGGACGGCGAGGAGGACGGGTGCGTGTCGAAAAGGAGCGAGATGGCGGGGGGGATGGGATCGAGCGGAGGGATGGTGGTGGTGGTGGTGTCGGTGGTGGTGAGGAGTGCGAGCGAGCGGGTGATGACGAGGAATGCAGGCCAGGCCAGGCCAGGCGGTGCTGCACGGGTGCGGGCGGGCGGCTGCATGCGGGCGCAACTGAGTTGGGCGGTTGCGGCGGCCGTCCCTGGCCTGCTTGGCCTTCTTGGCCAGGCCAGGCCAGGCCGCGAGCTTCTCCCCGCTTGCTTGCTTGCTGCCTTGGCAGGGAGCCGAGCCCTGCCTCTTCTATCTCTCTTCTGGCCTGGCCTGGTGCACCCGAGCCATGAAAGGCCGACCACCGACACGCCGGACAAGCCGACACGTACGCTGCGCCCGCCTGCTGCTGTCTGCCCGCCTGCCCGCCTGCCCGCACGCGCCATCCAGCCATTCGAAGGTGGAGGGGGAAAACCCTGGGGCGGCGAGGGGGGGCACGTCCCCCCCAAAAGTCGCCGGCCAAACCTCAGCTCAGCTCAGCTCAGCTCGGATCAGAGCCGCCCAGGCTGCCCACCACCGTACCGGTACCGCCATCAGGCTGCGCTACGTCCACTAGCCCGGCCGATCCGACGCCCTAGGCCTGCCATCCACCTTCGCCTCTGCCGTCGCAACCTCATTCTCTCTGCTGGCCTGGGATGTCGGGTCGTCGCAACTCCACGCGCTGCGGTCAACTGCGACGGTTGTGTTTGCCCGCCAGGCTTCCATCCATATTGGCTCCACGAGGACATGTATACCGGCCCTGCTCGCCGTCAAGCCGGCCTTGGCCATCGCCCCCTCTGCCGCCGCTACTTGACGCTCGGCGGCTCGACGACGGGCACGCAGTACCGCCCGTACAGCGACAGCACCGAGTAGGTCAGGCCGTGCGCCACCTCGACCTGGAACGGCGCATACGCAACCTTTTCCCCGTCGATGCTGCACATCCCCCCGCCCTTGAGCCGCCGGTGGCCCTCGCGCAGCCGGGGCGTGACGCGGTACGCTTCCACCTTGAGGTACGCCAGCGCCCGCTGGTAAATCACCCGCCCGCTCTCGGCAGAGTCGCCCTCGGGCAGTTTCGACAGCCGCCCGCCACCGTGCATCATCATGGCAACGTCAATCGCTCCGTCGCCCGGTAGCGCGTACGGGAACTGCATCAGGTCCCGCCCCACCCACGGCAGCTTGCCCCCGTACAGCGACGCCAGCGGCTCACGGATGCGGTACCACCCCAGCATCTCGTCGCCCGCGTCGTCGCCGTTGTCGTTGTCGTCGTTGTCGCCGTCTCCGCCCCCTCCGCCCCCTCCTCGTCGCGACCCGTCCGCCGCCGGCGCAAGGGCGATGCTGTGCGGCCACGAGGGATCCCGAAGGTCAAAGGGCCGCGGTGGCACGCCCTCGGGCCCAAGCGCGTCAGTCACTGCTCCGTGGCGCAGCGGCGGCTCGGCATCGCGCTCGAATCGCAGGTTGCCAAACGCGTCACGCGCCCACTCGGTCGCGCTGTCGTCCTCGTCGCCGTCCTCCTGCCTTGTCCCATCGACCTGCGCGCTGTCGGGCGAACCACCAAAGCCTCCGGACGCTGCGGTTGCACCCGCAACGCTGCCGCCGCCGCCGCCGCCGGCACCGGCCGCCGACGACGCCGACGCGCCATCCAGCCGCCCGGCCTGCTGGAACTTGCGCACGCGCTCGCGCATCTCTGCCTTGCTCTTGCTCCCGCGAAGCCCCAGCTTGACGTCGACGTCGACCTCGCACTCGGTGTTGCGCAGCACACCGGCCGCGTACCCGATCAGGAAGCGCGTGTCGCCCAGCGCCCGCATGCTCTCGGTGCCCAGGTCAATGTCGGCCATCAGGCCAATCGACTGCGAGAGGAACGAGTAGTACCTCACAAACGGCTTCGACGGCGCATCGGCCATCAGCGCCGCGTCCTCCGAGGCTCGTGTCGTCGTCGTGCTCGAGGGCACGGGCGCCGCGCCCATGTCCGCCCTGCGCTTGAACTTGGACGGCTGGGCCGGAACGCCAGGGATCGGGGTGCCGGGAGGGAACGCTGAAGCCGGCTGCGTGACGGTGAGGAGGTCGGCGGGCATGGGGCGGCCCTTGATGATGTTGAGGCAGGCGAGCGCCAGGCTGAAGCCTTGCTCGACGCCCAGCAGGTTGATGGCCGAGGCGTTGCCGCTGCCGGCGGGGATGGGGGCCAGCGGCAGGCGGAGCGCCCTTTTGGCATCGGACCGCTTGGCGAGACCATTGAGCACCTCGTGGATGAGGCCGTCGCCGCTCATGACGGCCATGGCGTCGTAGCTGTCGACGTCGAGGTCCCTTGCCACCTCGACGCCGTGTAGGCGGTACTGGGTGAAGGTGACGTCGAGCTTGCAGAGGGCCGCCTCAAAGATGGGGCGCACGCGGCTGTCGTAGAGCTGCCTTGCCTTTCCCGGCCCGCCTGCGGGGTTGACGAGGATCTTTAGGCGGCGGAAGGGTTTGACGTCGCCGTAGGCCTTGGCCATGACGTCGTCGACCCAGCGTTGGGCCTTGACCTCGACGTCGTCGTCGTCGCGCGAGGCGTGTGCGATGCGGGCCTCGATGCGAAAGAGGCGCAGGTTGGAGCAGGGCCCTTCGAGCTGCTGCTGCAGCCTCTGTGATCGCTGCTGGGGGGTCAGTGCGTGGTAGGCGTCCTCGCTCATCGAGGCCATGCAGGCGGGGCTGGCCTTTGGCTTTTTGAAGAACGAGAAGCCTGAGGCGGGCGAAGGTGCGGAGCTCTGGAGGGGGGGCGAGAGGAGGCGGACCAGCAGGGAACCGCCGTCGGAGTCTGCGATGAAGGATGTGTGTAGGACGAGGGCGAGGGGGACGCGGAGGTAGGCCTTTGACTGGTCCGAGTAGGCGGAGCGCGAGTGGCCTCGGAGGACAAAGAAGAACTCGTGGTCGTAGGAGACGAGGGCGGGCTTGCCCTCGATGGAGACGGCGAGCGATTGGGGAGGGAGGATTGCATGGCCGTCTCCGCCGTTGAGCGATGCGGCGTTTGAGGAAGACGAGGCGGTGGCGGTGGCGGTGGCAGTTGGCGCAGTCGACGCGGCTGGCCTCGAGTGGGGAGGGAGGACCGAGATGGCGGGCCCGCGGTGGCCCTGGTCTGCCGCCGACATGCGAGAGCGTGTTTGATGCCCTGTTGAAGGCAGACGAGCACTCGGTTCTGAAGACCGGATCGACGGAGGACCAGCGGGAGGCGACGACAGAGAGACGTAGGATTATGAATGTGGTGGCAAGTCAGGAGGAGTTCCCGACGCGGCCAAAAAGGGGCGGCGAGCGTGGGTTGCCTGGCTGCCTGCCCGCCTGGCCTGGCTGCCCGCCTCGCTGCCAAGGCACTCCTGGCGTTGGTCCGCTTTCCCATTTGGCGGTCAGAAGAAAGCAAGCGGCACGGCAACGACGGCCCGTGCGTCCAACACGCGGGGCCCATCATCCTCCTCCTCGCGCGCCCCCTCTGCTCCCTCAACCTGCCACCTTCTCGACCCACCACCTCCATCGATCCCCTCTCCTCCCCCCTCGCCCTCCCTTGGTCGCTCTGTGTGGCGATCCATCGCCAGCAGCCAGCAACCTGCCTGCCCACCCCATCTCACCGCCCGCCATGCCGCCCTCTCGCTTCGCCAACGTCTCCAAGTGGAGAAACGCCCTCCTCACCCCGGCCAAGCAACAACACCGCTTCCACGAGCTCGGCCTCGCCACCCCGCCAGACTCGGGCACCTTGGTCGCCGCCTCATCAGACTGGATCATAGCACGGGCCAATACCACCGGCACCCTCCTCTTCCTCCCCCACCACTCGCCTGGAAAGTATGCAAAGCAGCCCCCCACCTACCACGCCGCTTCCGCACCCATCTCCGACCTCGCCCTCAGCCACTTTGACGATGGCCTCCTCGCCGTCGCTTCCGAAAACGGCGCCATCGCACTCCACACCTTGCCACCGCCACCCACTGCCGACGCCGCCTTCCCTCCAGCCCTCGATCCCCCTCCGCAGCGCCTCATCGACCTCGAGCCAGTCGCCGCCACAAAGCCCGTCTCGTCCCTCGCCTTTCACACCACCACCAGCAACCTCTTGGCCGCATCCGCACACTCGTCCGTCGCCCTGTACGACGTCAACGCCGCAAAACCCACCATCACCTTCGACGCTCCCTCGCCCCTCCTCTCGCTCGACTGGTCCCAGGATGGCGTCAACCTCGCCTCGATCGCAAAGGACGGCGTCGTGAGCATCTGGGACCCGCGATCCAGCTCACAGCCGGCCTCGACGGTGCACGCCCACGCCAGCAAGGTCAAGCCCTCCCGACTCGCCTATGTTCGCTCAAACCTCATCACCACCGGTTTCTCGGCCATGCGCGAGCGCGAATGGGCCGTGTGGGACCCCAGAGCCCTCCAGTCTCCCCTCAAGCGGGCCACCATCGACAACTCGACCGGAGTCATCACGCCCCTCGTCGACCACGACCGCGGACTCGTCTACCTGCTGGTCAAGGGCGACGCGACCCTGCGCTGGCTCGAAGTCGACGACGCCAAGACTTTTACCGAGGGCAACTGCCCGCTCAACTTCACCATGGGCGGCGGCGCCATCGCCCCTCCCACGGTGCACAGGGTCATGGAGGGAGAGGTGGATCGCCTTGTGCTCGCCTCGACTACCAGCGACGACTGCCTCGTGCCCGTCAGCGTCACCATCCCCCGCAGGCAGTACATCGACTTCCACCCCGACCTCTATCCGCCCACGTCGAGCCGCGTCGCCGCCCAGACCGCTGCAAGCTGGCTGGCAGGCAGCGACGCTGCAGTCGAGCTCATCAGCCAGGATCCCGCACACGCCGCCACGGAGCGTCAGAGAGTGCGAGGCCAGGCGGGCTTGTCCCGCCACGCTGTAGCGTCGCCCACAAACGCTTCTGACCCAGCCCCCGGCAACGAGTCCTCGCCTGCGCCGGTACCGCAGCCGCCGACGCAGGCAGGCCAGCCTGGACAGGACGAGCTTCCTGCTGCTGCGCAGACAATTGCGCCCTCGTCGTCATCCGAGCCCAAGCCTGTCACAACGCCTTCGGCGTCAGCTGCGTCCAAGAGACCATCTGAGCCGCAGACCCCGCAGCCTGTCCAGAAGACCTCGGCCGCACCCGTCCGTCACGCAGCTTCACAGCCGGACGCCAGCAAGGCTCCTTCATCGGGGCTCCCTACATCCCCGAGCCCAGCCGGAGGGGCCCGGACTGCGAACCCGGCTGCGTCTGCGCAGCTGCCCACTCCCAAGCGCGTCGCTCAGCCGCCTACGGCTCCGAGCAAGGACGCGCCGCGGTGGTCCAGGAGATTCCTGCTCGGCAGCACACCCCTCATCGCTGCGCACCAGAACCTCGCCGGCCTCGACCTTGGCATGCCGCCAGATGGTCGCATGCTGGCGGCAAACGACCGCTTCCTCCTCTTCCCGCTCGCCGGTCCCGGCGGCCGGATCGGCGTGCACCCGACCAAGGAGTCGGGCCGGATGCCCACGCTCGTGCCGGCACTGTCGGCGTCGAGCAAGCTCGTCGACTTTGCCCTCGATCCCCTGGACCCGCAGCGTGCGGTCTCTGTTCATGAGGATGCGGCAATCCGCGTATGGCGGCTGCCCGCCAATGGGGAGGCGCTCGCGGAGCAGACCATCGACACGCCGGAAGCCATCCTCTCGTCGAAACGGGCTAGCAAGCAGTCCGAACTCGCCTTCCACCCGAGCGCCAAGGACCTTCTCGCCAGCTGCTCTCCCGAAAAGGGCGGCAGCCTCCTCTTGTGGAACCTGGCCAGCCCGTCGACCGGGCCCGTCGCGATTCCAGTCGAGGGCGATGGGACGACCTCTCTGGCGTGGAGCCCCGATGGCAGGTCCATGGCGCTATCGTGCAAGGACAAGGCCGTGCGCGTCATCGCGCTGCGACCCTCTGCCACTCGAGCAGCGGACTCGGCGCCGATGTCGACGGCCTCGTCGGATGCCGAACGCGCGTCAAGGGCCTTTCTGGAGCGTTCGATCACCTTTGCCCGGCACGAGGGTCGACCCCACGTCACGCTCACCTTTGCGCAGTCGAGCGACGGCAAGATCGCAGGAGAGGGCAAGCAGCAGCTGGCTCTCAGCGGCAAGGAGAGCATGCTCATGACCCACAACCTCCGGACGCTGCACGACGGCATCCTCGTCGGCATCGGCACCGTGCTTAACGACGATCCTCAGCTCAACGCCCGGCTGCTGTCGTCGCCAACCCCGGTCGATCGTCTGCCACGACCGATCGTCCTCGACTCGGCGCTGAGGACGCCTGTCGCGTGCAAGCTGATCCGCAACGGCCAGAGCGGCGTCGGCCGCCGACCCCTCATCCTCTGTTCCGCCTCTGCCGACGAAGAGCGCCGACGAGCGTTGCACGAGGCTGGCGCCGAGGTCGTGCAGCTGCCATCGGCCGGGGGCAGCCAGCTAGCCTGGGACGACGCGCTGGCGTTGCTCTCGCGGCACGGCATCGAGCGACTCATGGTGGAAGGCGGCGCCGCCGTGATCGATAGCCTGATGGGCCGACAGGACCTCGTCGACACGCTGCTGGTCACCGTCGCCCCGCGCACCGTGGGCGAGCACGGGTTCGGCTTCTCTGCAGCCGTGCCGCACCCGTGTCCGGGAGCATCGCAGAGAGAGAGCGACACATTCCGCCTGCGCGCCGAAGAGACCTTTGGGCCCGATCGAGTCATTGTCTGGGACCAGTCGAGTCGAAAGCCGGAGGTGGTTGGGGATGGATCCGCGACAGCAGTCGACATTAACACGACCGCCGCCACGCTCCGCTTTTCTGATCTGCGCAACTGCCGGCTGACGTGGATCGACGACGAGCACCTCGCCGTCGTCGGCCACACGGTCGGCTCGGCACGCCAGCTGCGCCTGCTGCGCGTCGGCGGAAGCGGTCTGGAGGAAAAGAGCCGGCTGACGCTCGACGTGTCGCCCGCGCTCCTCTTTCCGTCGTACGACGCCGACACCAACATCCTCTGGCTGTGGTCCAAGGGCGAGAGGCTCATCTCGGCGTACGAGGTGCGCGTCGCCGACCGGGGGCCCCTGACCGCCCTCTCGACGTTCCAGCACGGCCAGCCGCAGCTGGGCGTCGCCTTTTTGGCCAAGACGGCCGTCGACCCGAGCAAAGTCGAGATTGGCGTGAGCTACCGCATCGAAAAGGGCGAGATCCGCAGGGTGTCGTGGAGCGTGCCGAGGTTGAGGGTGAGTTGCGGGATGGCCGCCGGACGCACCGCCTTGTCTCTCCCGTCGGCGCTGACACGATGCGTCCATGTCTGTCTGCTTGCCCCACGTCCTGCAGCCCGAGTTCTTCCAAGACGACATCTTTATCCCCACGCGCGATACGTCGCAGCCCTTGACGACTGCGGCGCGGTGGCTCCAGGGCGAGTCAGACGAGCGCGAGGCAACCTACCTGGATCTGCGACCCGCCGACATGGTGCCGCGTGAGTGCCGGCTCCGGCCTGGTCGCAGTCGCTGCACGGCTTTCCCCCTGCTGACCCGCCCGTCCCACCTGGTCGCGACCCCCTGGGATGTGCTGTCCCCAGTCTCTCAAGCTCCCGAGGTGAAAAAGGAGAGCAAGCTGCCAAAGGGCCCCGTGGCCAAGGTGCTGACCGAGGACGAGAAGAAGGAGAAGCTGCTCGATGGCGTGAGTGCCGATGGTCGCTTGGCATCGGACTGGGCAGCGCTGTGCTGGGCTGGGCACCTCTGCGACGGATCGGCTGACGATGGCCTGTCCGCGTACCCTCCTCCTCACCCTTGGTCTATTCTGCGCCCGTGTGGATGTTGGCGCACCAGATCTTCAAGAAGGCCAAGCACCGTGGCGGTACCGCCTACGACGCCGCCGGCGCCGGCAATGGCGTTGGACGCGATGAAGAAGAGGACGACGACGACGACGACGATGAGCCCCCCGTCGGCTCTGCCGCTCGAAGGGCCCCCGACAACGACGACTGGAGCGACTGAGGGCGCGGCCGCAGCGCACCGTAGGCACCGGATCTCTTGTCGAGGAGATGAGGTCCAGGCGGGTGGGTGTGCGGCCTCATCCCAACCTTGAATGGACTGCCACCGTATCGCCCCGGAACTGCCCGACGTCGATGGACAGACGATGCGACCGGCTCAGTTGGTGGTGGCGGGCCCCGCCTCTGACCGGCCGACAGCGGGCAGGGCGGGCGGCGCGGCGGGTTGCCAGGTCTTGTCGTTTCCCCGCATTTTGAGCACGCCCATCTGGCCCGCCTGCCTGCCCTGCCAGTCTGGCTGTGTGAAAGCGCAGACGAGCCAGCCCAGGCCAGGTGGATTTCCAAGTCAGCTCCCCAGCTCCCCAGCCCCAGCGAGCGGGCTCTGGACGCGGCCAAGCCAGAGGAAATTCCATCTGCCGCCTAGCCTCGCTTGCCCCGCGCTGGGATCGCCTGCTTGCGTCTCGGTCGTACCCCCGCCTACCGCCTACCGCCTGCCTGGGCTGCCTAGCCTAGCCTCTTCAGGCGTGACCCGGTCGCCCTCGTGCCTGGACCAGCGATCCAACGACGCTCCAGCCTGCTTGCGGCGGCCGCTCCATCCTCCATCCAGACCATCATCGCCTTCGCCTTCGCCTTTGCCTTCATCGCCCTCGCTTTCGACCTCGACTCCGCACTCGTCTCCTTCCTACGACGCTGCACTCGACGTTTGTGCTCCCTCCACGTCCCACTCTCACCTGCCCCTCACCCGCTCCTCCTTTGTCCAGCCGTCCCTCGACCCGATCACCGCCACTGGACGTCCATCCTTGCATCCTCGCACTCGCCCTCGCGTCCGCAACCCGCGTCGCCCTCGCACTCGGTGGCGCCGTTGCCCTCGCACTCGCACTCACCCTCGCCCTCACACTCGCACTCGCACTCGACTTCGATCTCGGATCGCTCCTTTGCCTTGCGCAGTCACCCCCGTCGTCCTATCAGCAAACACCCGCCCACCCGCCACCCCACCCACTCGCCATGGTTCGCTCCACGATCTGCGCCGTCGTTGCGCTCAGCATCGCCGCCACCCTCGCCCCCGTCGCGGCACAGCTGACGACCAACAACGCACAGGTGAGTCGCTCGACGTGGCCTCGCCTCGATCCTCGATCCTCGTTCCACAGGGTACGGCGACGCCTCTCTGAACACGCTGCCGACCCCTCCTTCCGGCTCTTTGCCCTCACGTCGACAGTCTGCCTGCGTGGAATACGGTGATTGGTGAGTGCCTGCCCGCCAACCGCAATGCAAACGCAACTCGGCCAACGTGCAGACGACCCACTGATCCGCCTCCTTCCGCCGATCCTTGTCGATCCTTCCGCCGCCCCGTTCTCGACCCTTCTGCCGCCCCGTTCTCGATCCTTCCGCCGCCCTCTTGTCGATCCTTCCGCCGCCCTCTTGTCAATCCTTCACCGCCCTCTTCCTCCGTCGCTCTCCCGCTCTCTCCCGCTCTCTCCCGCTCTCTCCCGCTCTCTCCCGCTCTCTCCCGCTCTCTCCCGCTCTCTCCCGCTCTCTCCCGCTCTCCCTCCCCCACCCACTCGCAGCACGACGCTCGGGCAAAACACGTTCAAGACCGAGACGCAGTACGCGCCCGTCACCCCGCCCGCCTACACGCCCGGGCTGGCAACCATCATCAACCCGGCCTCGGACTCGGCCTACCTCTCCTCGCTCGCCGCCGCGGGTGGCTCGGCCGCCTTCCAGGCCAACCAGG